CTTTATGAAGCTGCTCACGGAGAAGGCTAACTGGCATATGGGAGAACTGCGGCTCTACCTTCCTAAAACTGCACCCCGACAGCTGGCAGCAAAAAGAAAGCATGACGAGATGATGCTGACTGAACCTCATGCCGACACTCTGACGTACCATCAGAAGCGCCAGCTCCTCTTCATCTCTCAGGCGATTCGGGACTATACGAACGATGGTCCTGGCCAGAACTCATTTCAGCTTGAAGATGCAGAACCCACCATCCAGCGTATCTGGACGTACTTGACGCGCCACTTTGGCCAGGGGGAGGTGCACTTTATGATAGCCAACACCTTGTCACATCTTCACCTTCTGATGCGATCGTCAACGCCACGCCTCCTCTCGGGCATTGAGCAGTCACAGCCATCGCACGCTCCGGGACAAGGCTTGGACTACTTCCCCTCCAATCTCCATCTACACGATGACAAGCAACTGGACCTTCACTACTTCGACTTGCAGGCGCTCAAGAGAGCCTCCACAGTATACCGGGTACAGCAGCTTCTCAAATTGTCTTCCTCAACCTCAGAAGGGGCATCGTCAGTGAAGAACGGATGGCGCTTTCAACATCAAGACCATCACCTCAACGCTCTGCCCTACGATCAACATCTCCTAGCTCTGTTGCCTCATCTTCCGAACTACCAGGACCAAATCCGAAAGGATCTAGTCACGTATCGGAAGTGGCTACTTCGAGAAATCCATGCAGAACAAATTGCCTGGGTTCGATCCATGATCACGGAAGCAGTGATCTCGAGAGGCGACCTCCTGGAGCTCTTTGAGGAAGCCTTGCTCAAGCAGGTCAATTCTGCATTCCAAGCCAGCGCTAGACCTCCCAACCCGGAGGATCACTCTCAAGACTTCCAGAACAGCATGGCTCTTCGCTTCTACCAAATCATCAACCCATTGTACGACGAGGTCTATGAGGAGTACAAGCCGTATGCAATTGTCTATAAGATGCTTGCTTCCTTTCATCGCAAACAGGTCCAGTCCCTTCTTCGGCCTCGAGAAGCAGCCATTCTGGCTTCCCCATATCGTACCATCAGCCTGGTTCCAGTATGCGAGTGAGGTCGCCTCCAGCAAGCTGAACCATTATCCCTAAACGCCTGAATAGTCCTAACAAAGGACTCGATCCAGTCTCCAGACAATTGCTCGCACTGCAGAAGAAAAGCCTCAACGCCTCTTTATGGACAAGTGCCAGCCTGCATGGCCGATGCTTTCAGACTAGGCCTGCCTGCCAGCCTGCCTGCTGAGGTTGAAGACCAATCTCGCAGAGACGTGTACAGAAGCGCAACCCACATTGCTTGAAGAAGGTAGGACATCGGACTGATCAGGTCCCGAACGAATAGGTCACTCAATTTTCACCCTCGACGCCCGCCAAGGTGTGGGACATGACCCGCACATGCGTCCGAAATGAAATGAAAATGTTGTTGTTGCTGTTGCTGTTGCTGTTGCTGTTGCTGTTGCTGTTGCTGTTGCTGTTGCTGTTGCTGTTGCTGTTGCTGTTGCTGTTGCTGTTGCTTTTGCTGTTGCTGTTGCTGTTGCTGTTGGTGTTGGTGTTGGTGTTGTTGTTGTTGTTGTTGTTGTTGTTGTTGTTGTTGTTGTTGTTGTTGTTGTTGTTGTTGTTGTTGTTGTTGTTGTTGTTGTTGTTGTTGTTGTTGTTGTTGTTGTTGTGTTCTTGCTCTTGCTCTTGTTCTTGTTCTTGTTCTTGTTCTTGTTCTTGTTCCTGTTCTTGTTCTTGTTGTTCTTGTTGTTCTTCTTGTTCTTGTTCTTGTTCTCGTTCTTGTTCTCGTTCGTGTTCTCGTTCTTGTTGTTCTTGTTGTTCTTCTTGTTCTTGTTCTTGTTGTTCTTGTTGTTCTTGTTGTTCTTGTTGTTCTTGTTGTTCTTGTTGTTCTTGTTGTTCTTGTTGTTCTTGTTGTTCTTGTTGTTCTTGTTGTTCTTGTTGTTCTTGTTGTTCTTGTTGTTCTTGTTGTTGTTCTTCTTGTTGTTGTTGTTGAAGCACTACCAGCTCAAGCCGCCCGTGCATGGTAGCTGTCGAACCGGCCAAGGCCCCGAACTTCAATCTTTAACAGCTTTCGTTGCCCACCTAACATCTCAAGGCTTGTAGCTCTTGCCAGCTGATGGTCATTTGGAGGCTTTAGCCTCCTGCAATTGAGATTCAGCCGCAGACAGCAAATCCACGAGCTGGCCCGGTCCCAATTCCGGGGGGAGACACCAAGATAGTATAAGACTTCATCTTACGCTCCCAAGTGTGAGGGTTCTCGTCTTTCCGCACGGCGAGGGGAGTCTGATCGTGCCTCGGCACTTCAGTCGAAACAAGCGGATGGCAGAGGGGATAATCTTTGAGGCTTTTACAAAGGATGACGGGTTTTTCTATGCGCTGGTTCACAAAGCAGAGCAAATGGTATTCCTAGTTTCACGCAGGTCTTACAGCAGCTTGACAACAATCAACAGTATTTGTATTTCAGTGGCATGTCTACAGGCGCTGTCCGACGAAGCGGTCCTACTAACGGGAGCCTCGAGCCCCAGCCAAGTTGACGGAGACAAGCCTGAGTCCCTGCTGCGCTGGCGGCAGATCTCTATACGGCCCTTCATCATTGCCTCTGGTACTCTGAAGCTGAAGTCGGACGGCACTGGCCAATGCGTCTTTTTGCAGATCTGGTATTGTTCACATTTCACAGAAAGGTCTTCTGCAAGTTCAGGCTTGTTTCTTCTTCGTTGACATATGTGCTCTCAGCGTCACTTCTATTCACCTTCAACCCAACACCCTACACTTGCACTTGCACATCCTCAAATCAATGCTGGTGAGATGGCCAACATTTCAGCCTAGTAGTCCCGTTCGTCGGGTTAGGCTCACGCAGTGCCTAGTAGTCCCGCTCGTCGGGTAAGGCAGGATGTAACTTTCATTTCTTTGCGTGGTCAAGACAGCCTAGTAGTCCCGTCAGTCGGGTGAGGCAGTGCTGTGGCCTAGTAGTCCCGTTCGTCGGGTAAGGCACTGAAGAAAGATGCTAGCTGGTTGTCAGTTGTTTTTCAATTTCTTTTAACTCACACTGCAGTGTCAGCGGCCTGAGCAAGCATATCTGTGAGAAAGGCGTTCTCCATGAGAAGCCTAAGTTTCACCAGCTCAGTGCTTTCACGCCGCCCTCCGCTAGCAGAAGCGGCCTGGGCCATAATTTTCCTCGAGTGAGGTCGCCTCCTGGCAAGCAATCCACTCTAGTGAGGTCTTCTCCTGAAGGATTGCAATCCCTGTGCAAACTTTAGCCTATGCAACTTCTTAGCAGGGTTCCCAGCTCAGAGTCACTCCGCTTCCATTCGCTAACGGTAGGATGTTGTTGCGATGCTGCCTTGTAGCCTTGTTTGCTGCTTAGCTTGTTGGTAGGTTTCTTGTATTAGCCGCTTTAGCCATAAGCACAACTCTGGAGCTACTGCTTGTCCTTTCATGCACGTTTCGACGCTCATATCTGCTGTATCAGCAGAGGCCTGAGCGCGAGAGTTTCGTCTAGTTGCAGCAGCCCATGGTCTTATGTGCTAGCTCTTCTTCTCAACTGACCGAGCATTTAAGTCGGGGCTGACCCCTCCGGAACTGTGAATAATACTATGATTGAATGCCCTGCTTTGTGAACAACTGCACTGCTCAATTTCTGGGTTTGGGGTTTCAGGCTTCGTGTTTTCTTGTTGTGTCGTATAGTGCAAAGTGCAGTTTTTGCCTGCTGTACACGGGCTTGGTCAAAAATCGTGTAAGGGTCTCCTCCTGGTTCACTGTCCACCGTGATTTCAGCTAGTATGTGCAGAGTGCAGTTTTTGCCTGCTGCGAAAGGGCTTGGTCCAAAGCCTTGTGAAGCCGTGTGAGGTCTCCTCCTGGCTCACTGACCTCCGTGTTGCAGCTAGTCTAGCCCAGCTTTTGGCGATAGCTGCCGGGCAAGACAGTCAACTAAAGCGCTTCTCTTGTCCTGCTTTGTTCTTGTTTGCTAGCGGCACTTCACACTTTGCTAGCGGCACTTTACACACAGCGCTCTAGTTGACTTAGAATTAGCCGTCTTTTTCAAGTCTTTCTACCCCTCGATGCCATGCGTCCGAAATGATATGAAAAAATGTTGTTGTTGTTGTTGTTGTTGTTGTTGTTGTTGTTGTTGTTGTTGTTGTTGTTGTTGTTGTTGTTGTTGTTGCTGTTGTTGTTGTTGTTGTTGTTGGTGTTGGTGTTGGTGTTGGTGTTGGTGTTGCGGTTGTCGTTGTCGTTGTCGTTGTCGTTGTCGTTGTCGTTGTCGTTGTCGTTGTCGTTGTGGTTGTGGTTGTGGTTGTGGTTGTGGTTGTGGTTGTGGTTGTGGTTGTTGTTGATTTTGTTGTTTTTGTTGTTGTTGTTGTTGTTGTTGTTGTTGTTGTTGTTGTTGTTGTTGTTGTTGTTGTGGTTGTCGTTGCCGTTGCCGTTGCCGTTGCCGTTGCGGTTGCGGTTGCGGTTGCGGTTGCTGTTGCTGTTGCTGTTGCTGTTGCTGTTGCTGTTGCTGTTGCTGTTGCTGTTGCTGTTGCTGTTGCTGTTGCTGTTGCTGTTGCTGTTGCTGTTGCTGTTGCTGTTGCTGTTGCTGTTGCTGTGGCTGTTGCTGTTGCTGTTGCTGTTGCTGTTGCTGTTGCTGTTGCTGTTGCTGTTGCTGTTGCTGTTGCTGTTGCTGTTGCTGTTGCTGTTGCTGTTGTTGTTGCTGTTGCTGTTGCTGTTGCTGTTGCTGTTGCTGTTGCTGTCGCTGTTGCTGTCGCTGTGGCTGTTGCTGTTGTTGTTGTTGTTGTTGTTGTTGTTGTTGTTGTTGTTGTTGTTGTTGTTGTTGTTGTTGTTGTTGTTGTTGTTGTTGTTGTTGTTGTTGTTGTTGTTGTTGCTGTGGTTGCTGCTGTTGTCCTGCTGATGGTGGGCGTGCCCGGCTGTGGGCGACAGCCCCTTTAGATAATACAAGTGATGACAACAACAAGAATTGAACTACATGAGAACAAGAGCTCAGCCGGAGGCCTCCACAAGCTGCCGCACATGCTGAGCCAGAGACGCGTCCAAGCCACAAGACTCCGGGGGGCAATCAATGCATTGCAGATGGAGCCGCGATCGCCTTGCAAAGGCTTGCAGGCTCCAGTGCTCCTTCTCCAGACCCCTGAACCAGGAGGCCAGGCGAGCAAAGAGCTGGCTGCGAATGGCCGGGCTAGTTCGGCTGCAGGTGCCCATCAAGTCGACTAGGATGAAGCTGGGGGACCAGAAGCCCATGCCCCAGGAAGCGATGCCCAGTGTGGGTACCTCGTGCTTGAAGAGCACGGAGTCTGCCAGGGGCCGCTCACCCTCGAGGGCCTTGTTCACCAGCGCAAGCACCGTGCCCTGCGTCCGTGAACGCATCGCAAGCACCTTGGCTCTTCGACCCTCGCTTTCGAATTATGGTGCTCATTCCTTCTTCGTCTCAGGCACGAAACAACAAAGCCTGAAAACGCCCAGGCACAAAGCTCATGCTTGCGAAGGACCACATGTTGTCGAGAAGCTGCCGAGTTTCCGGGAGCTTGTAACAAGCAGCCAGGTTCTCGCTCGCCTCGATCACCTGCCCTAGGACACTGTCTGGGTGGACCGTGGCGTGCTCCGTTTCCTTGGCAAACTCCGCAAGCTTTCGCATCGTAGTCCTGTTGCTGGCATCTCCCTCCCAGAAACCAGTCCAAAGCATGGCCGAGTTATGGGTTTTGGCCAAGGGGAGGAGCCAACTCCGAAGAAACGATAACTTCCGGAATCTGTGAAGCAAGCCCCTCGGCAGCTCCAGCGAAGCCGCCTGTGATCTTGTGATTTGGAGTGCCTCCACCAAGGCTTCACCGCTTAGAAAGATGTCGGCGGCACTTTCGCTGCAACTTGTCCGGGGAGGTCTTGGCTCGTAGTACCGCAGGATAAAATCTTCCTCCGGCTTCCTGGCTAAGCATTCGGCCGTCAGGTTGGCATGCATCTTTCCCAGCTGCTTCCAGCAGGTGGGGACGTCTGCTTGGTGCCAGCGTGTGAGTATGCGGAAGAGAAGCTTTTCCAGATCTGCCCCCCCAACTCCTTGCAAATTCTCGAGCTCCCTGGTCTGGTTCAACAGCTCCTGCGGCAGATCTTCCACCAAATGCGCTGGGTGATCCGTCCAGGGTGGAGAAAGATCATCACGCTCCACCCTAATGCACAGAGCGGCTGGCACCAATGCTGCAGCAAGCAGCGCCACAACGCGAGCCATGGCCCGTGAACATAAAATCTACATGGACTTGACAGATTGCTTGAAAGCCGCACACGGCTTTCATGGTATGGGTTCTCAGCTGCAATCTGCCGCACGAACGGGTAGCGGGGTAGCGCATTCAAGCTTCGCCTGCTATGCGTTCAGCGCATCTCAGGGTAGACCACCCTTCTCCCGTCACGAGATTCAAGAAATCGATCCGGAACAACCTCAAATCCCGCCTGCCCGACGTTGGGTGCCGAGGCAGAGTGGCTAAGATCACTCCCTGCGCCCAAGGTTCTTCAGGGATTGCTGCACTTACGACGTTGGGGGTTTGGGGAAAGGGTTCGCTAGGTCCTTCGCGGGGTCGAGGTGCCAGTGCAAAGCCTGCTATACCTTTGGGGGATCCTCTTTACAAAGGATTCTGCCATTTGCGGGCCATTTTATGCCTATATATATATATATATATATATATATATATCTATCTATCTCCCCCAAAAGGGACCCTCGAAAAGTGAACCTGCCACCGATGTAAGCTTTGCAGTGCGGGCGATGTACAGTGGGACCAATCGAGGCCCACGAGGCCTCTCGCCCCTGTCTTTGCCCGCAGGGCCATGATGTTCGCCTGCAAGACCAGCCAAGGGGTTTAGGGTTTAGGGTTTAGGGTTTAGGGTTTAGGGTTTAGGGTTTAGGGTTTAGGGTTTAGGGTTTAGGGTTTAGGGCTTTGGGTTTAGGGTTGAGGCTTTGGGGTTTAGGGCGTCTCGCGGCGCAGCGGCAGTAAACCCCATGTGGAAATGGCGCCCCAACACACCCAGGGGGTGTGGGGGGGCGGCATGTCACGCGAAGGCATCTGTTTCCAACGCAATCCAACAATTCTCATTGGTGTTGGGTTCTTTCTCCCCACCCGCTGTGAGCTTTCACAGGCCACCACAAGGGGCTGTCGCCCTCAATTCCCACCATTGCTTCAAACTTTTGCGGGGTGGGCCAAGGCCGGGAAGCAGGGCACCGGCGCCAGAAAGGGGGGTTAGGGAGAGGGGGGGGCGGGGTGAGGGGGCCAGGGGCTTTTTTGTACCCCTTCATGGCAGACCCTGGATTTCAGCATTTTCGGGCAGGGGACCCACCCATCGTCCACCCAGTAAAGGTGTCCGTCGCTGCCGGATATCTTCTGGGTCCAGGCACGCTAGAAAAGGGTGGGTACGGGCGGGTGAGAATTTAGGGTTTAGGGTTTCGGTAAGGGTGTTAGCAGCCCGACCTCCATCTCGCGGCAGCTACGCTGGTAGGACCTGTCGCAGCGGGGGGGCCAAGCAACCTGACCGTGGCCGTACTCCAACGCCCCTTGCATCGATTCAATCCGTTGTGATACCCCACGCAACATATGCAATGCTAAACTCCTAAACTCTACAATCGAGTAGACCCTAAACTCGCTTCAGTGACCCTCGGACTGGGCAGCCGGGCCGATTCTCGGACCTCAACGTGTTCATCTCCGCGATGAGCTGCGCATTCTCGGACCTGGGCAACTGCTTTGGAATCGAAGGCTTCCCGCAGTCTGGTGGCGGGGGTTGTTCTAAGTTAGGGCCAGGGTCCACTTAGAGGGGGCTAGGACGATGACTCCACATGTAGCGGCAAAAAAGGGGGGGGGGGGGGGGCACCGTCATTAAAGGCCCATAAGACCACTACAAGGCTCTGTGGGCTTGAACTATGAGCAGAAGAAATGATGAGTTCCGAGAGAACTCCAGCAAAATTCTCAGATCCACGCGTGAGCTTGCGCACATCCTGCTCGCACTCGCGCTTCGTTTGGGCGGCGGCCCTGTAGCGGCAGAAAGGTGCAGGCTTTTTTCGGTGCTGCAGACTGTTTTGCGGAGTCGTGCAGATTTCGGAATCATACATGGGCAACACTCGCCTCGGCCCTTGGCCGCGTTGCGTCAGAGGTTCCCCTTCAGCTCCACCCCACCCTCCCCCCCCCCCACCCCGGTTTGGAAACTTGTCAGGTCCTTTGTGCGTGGCACCTCCGCCCCCCCCCCCATCAGTACGACGATGCCATCGAACTAGCCATGCTCGGCTACCGCGCCGGTGGCATATCTTCGCCCCGGCTCTGGCGGGGGAATGGGGGGGAACCTAAAAGCCCCAAAACCCTGGAAGCCTCTGCGCACCAGGCCTAGGTGCGTGACATGCAGATATAAACTACAGAACTCCCCCAGAAAATGCAGTCTGGGACTCCCTGCGCTGTGGCAATCTCCTTCTTTCGGAAGAGCAGGTCACGCTGGACGACCATCTCCTGCGCACAAAGTGGGAAATGCGGGGCTTAGGGTTTGTTACATTTTAGGGTGCGGCTTGCGGGCTTAAGCTGGGGGGGGCATACTGCCCCAACCCGCCAATCTCAATCATCCCACGAACCGAAAAAAGGGGGGCTCGGCCTCGACAAGGACCTTGCTCTTTGCCAGCTCGCCCTCACCTTGTTGAGTCCCAAGGTCTCTATGGCACGTCGGCGTTTAGGGCACAGTGTGTTTTCCAGTCTACGCAGAGAGGTGAAATCAAAGCACAAATCGAAGTGCCCGGCCCACATCCTCCGTCTGTTCCTCCGTGTGCTTCCAGGCCTGGGCAGCCATGGCAGCCGTAGCCGCACCCAGCCGGTAACCCTGAAAACCCCAAGCCCGAACCCTGCTAAACCCTCTGAATCCCCGCACCCCCTCCCTGAAGCCTGGGGGCCACCCGGGGCTCGCTTCGGGGGGGGGGGGAGAAGTGTGTAGTCCTGGCTAGGGCCAACGGCCAGCAACTTCTGATGGCGCTCCAACACAGCCTCGCGGCGAAGACTCAGCGAGAGAGGTAAGCACAAGGAGTTTAGACGGCAAGGCAGAGATTTGTGTTGAAGCAGGGCTTAGGGCTTCAGAGTTTGCAAGGCTCAACTGGACTCGGGCTTCGGGTATTGACCTGCCACCCCAAACGCTCAACCCTCATCAATCCCCAAATGCTCCCCGAGCCCAGAGCCCTGAATGCCAGAGCCGCAAACCTTTTTCTTGTAGGCTACCAATGATCTTAGACGGGCCTTTTAATAAGTACCTTTAGACCCAAGTTCTTAAGGGTAGCCTTAGGGCATTTGGAACCTCAACACTTCGAAGGCTAAGGGGCAGTCGAACTGCGAGGCCTGCAGTCTCTTTGGCATCTGTGTGTACTCCTCAGTCGTCTCTGGATGAAGCACGGTTTCGACCTCCGCAAGAAGGTTTGCAGTGGGGCGTGCTAGCTCATTTCCGCCGAAAACCCAAACCCTCCGCCAATTCGGTACCCTCCAACCCCATATCTTACGAGAAGAGCTGCAGGAGCCTCTTCAAGCCCTAAATAGGTTCCCAAGACTTTGAAACCAACAACCATGCAAGAAAACAAGCAGCCTCTTGGATCAGCCGGCGGCCGTCCTCTAGTGCAGTCTCTGTTTTCGGGCTGCCTTCTAAGGCCAGACAGCGGACATGGAAGCAGGTCGCACTTCAAGAGATTCCGCATGCAGGAGGACTACAGCAAAACGCTGCCCGCAGAGAGCTGTGAAGAGGTGTAGTGGCTCTTTTGACTTGAGGGCCCGCTCTGGATGGCAGAGTTGTGCGCTGTGGTAGATGGGTACGGCCGTGGATGCTACGACTACTTGAGCACAGGGCGCGACAGCAAAACAAGAGACGTGGAGAAAACTCGTGGCGCTCCCTCCTTCTTCAGCTGAATGAGTTGGGCTCGCAGCCTGGGTTGTGACAACCCACGAAAGCAGGTACCTAAGACACCCTCTCTTTGGGCTCAAGGGTGAGTAAGTAGGGATGTAAGTACCTTAATTGGGGTTATAAGTATCAGTATAGCTACCTTACTTTTCACCCCGTAAGTCCCCTGATCCTTTAAGTAGGGACTATAGCACTTCAAATCCCATGCTCACGGCGCAGCCGGGTCTCTCCACATTCTCTTGCTGCAGGGAGGAGGACCGCATGACCTTGTCCTGAGAGTGAATCCCCAGGTTAGGGTTTAGGGTTTAGGGTTTAGGGTTTAGGGTTTCGGGCTGAGGGTTAAGAAGCAATGACGATGCGAGTGAGAGCGCCAAATAACCATGACCAGCGTTGGTCAGATAATGATACGAAGGATGTGAAAGTCATGATACTTGCTGATGATGACAATGATGATAATCATACTGATATTCACACTGAGAATCAGAAAAGAAAAAAACATAATGAGAAAAAGAATACGAATAGCACTGAGAATCAGAAAAGAAAAAACATAATGAGAAAAAGAATACGAATAGCACTGAGAATCAGAAAAGAGAAAACATAATGAGAAAAAGAATACGAATAGCAATACCATTCCGAGGACCCCACACTGAGTGACTGGTCCAGCTTCTGCTTTTGCCGGAACTCGCGGACAAACCTGCAGGGGAAATCAGGCAGAAACACACACTAACGGCCCTTCAAGGTGTACATCGAGTTTAAGCTTCTGCTTTTTTTTCCGGATGATTCAGCATGCCAAGCTCCCACACCGCAAGCTCTCCCACACCGCAAGTTCAGAAGGTGCAAGTCTTCAGAGTTTGGGGCTTGGGGCGGTAGCCCTTTATCTGGGAAAGGAACGCCGACATAGAGCAACCTCCACGTGGAGATCCCTCCCTCCAGGGCCCGCGCTCCGTGTACATCTCCCGGACGCTGGTCTTCAAGGAGTTGACCTTGCAGACCGGCCGGAAACTGGTGAGCTGCCCCAAAAAACTAACGAGGTCCCCAGCCTCCATCTCATGCCAAGAGATGCCCAAAAGGACAGCAAACAGCCATTGCAAGATAACCGCTAATGCGGGCTGACGAGCAACCTGCTCTTCGAGCGGGTCGCGCTCCTCCTCAAGTGCGCGCACCTGACGATGCAGCCACCGAAGGTAACAGCCATACTGCATCCACCCCCAGCTGTGTGTCTTTTTTTGTTTTTTTCAATGGGGGGTACTTGGAAGATCGGGGCACTTGGTAAGTCGGGGTATAGACAATTTAATTGGGATTGTAAGAAGTTATTTATTAATTATTAGATAATTACTAATTCGTCATTAACTACTAATTATATAATAAGTATAGATGCCTGACTTATGACCCAACTTACTTTTGGGGGTTCCGATAATGAGGAGTGTATCTCTGAGCATTTTAATCTTTAATAGACTCAATTTAGTTGGAATGGGTGTTGTGAGGCACATTGGATGGATAGTTAGATCGCTAGCATTCGGGCTTTAAACACTTTATAGTGTGGTGATTGAAATTCGATAATTCTTTCTTCTACAAGCAGTTATATTAGTGATGTGTATTAGTAAGTGGTGTGTGGATGTGTGATCTAGAAGAAGAAAACTAGTATTTGGGGGTACACTAAGGGCACCCGTCTTTGGGGAAACACCCACATCTGCTGCACAGAGGAACATGTCGGAATCATCTGCCTTTGGGGAGGATCCCCTTCCCCTAGTATTCGACACCCCCCCCACCCCCTACTGGTAAATACTCCCCTTGCAGGTACATGAGAGTTTTTAGGGGGACTTAATAATGGGGGGTAGGGGGGGTTTAATTTTAGCGGGGTACTTGTGGTCAACCATATGGCCCCTGGCCTTGTGGAAGAGCACGAACCGGAAACTCTCCAGGTGCTTCATCTGCCTGATGGGCCCGACCCTCGACTCGAGAAAAAGCCCGGTCATTTCCTGAACCTCTCCTTTCATTTCCTCAACCTCTCCTTTCCGATGGCCCAGGGTTTAGGGCTTCGGGTTTAGGGTTTGGGGTTGGTACAGCAACATGCCGGCTGGGCTCGCGCAGCTTGTTGAGGCTTTCGTCCTTCACCTGCCACTGCGATCCGTGTGCGCACCAAGGCGCGTTCATCACGCGGTCGAGGCAGCGTGGGACATGCTCTTCCCGGAACACATCAGGTTGGGGCATTTCGGGGTCCAATCTGACCGACGTGTGAAATCAGCACTGGGTGGAGGAGGATGATACACTCAGGGCAGCGATCAGAACGAAGAACTGCCTCTATTCCTAACCCGGCTTAGAAGAATGATGACGACTCGTTACTCCCCGCATTGGCAAGTGGCCTTCAGGCTCCTTTCCCGCTCCTTCAGCTGGGCCCGAACCTGGAGGGATGAACTCTGAGGGTTTTGTGCTGTAGATGGCTGTAGTGCTTGAGGGCTACAAGGGCCTCAGCAAAGGATTTCGGAGTTCGGGGATGAATTTGCTTGCTTGTGTCGGCTTTCGGATGCCTTGTCCACCATCTCCTGCGAGGCCTGCAGCTTCTTGCGCAGCTCTTCGTGCTGCTGTGCGGCCTCCGGTCTACAGTGAATGGCACGGAGGACCCTGTAGACCCTAAACTCTAGAGACCCTAAAACGACAGGTGCAAAGCACGAACCCCCAACCCAAAGGCTGGAGCATGATGCTAGGGTGCCCGGCAACCAGGGTCCTAACTCTAAGGAGGAATTCTTTGGGTCCCGGCATGCTGTGAGACATACTGACTATGAGTTTCAAAAAACTGGCTAGGGTTTAGGGTTTAGGGTTAGAGGGTTAGAGGGTTAGAGGGTTAGAGGGTTAGAGGGTTAGAGGGTTTAGGGTTTAGGGTTTAGGGTTTAGGGTCTAGGGTTTAGGGTTTAGGGTTTAGGGTTTAGGTTTTGAGGTTCAAGAAAACCTTCCGAAGCCCTTCCGGCAGCCCAATCCGAGCCTCGATGAGCTCAGCATCCTTCGCCTTGACCTGCCCAGGGCGACACATTGCTTCCAAAGGGCTTTTGAGCGCGCTGTACATTTGGGGGGGGGAGGGGGGGGGGAGGGAGCACCCAGAACCCTGAACGCTAAACCCTAAACCCTAAACCCTAAACCCTAAAACTCTAAAACTCTAAAACCCTGAACCCTAAACCCTAAACCCGAAACCCTAAACCCTAAACCCTAAACCCTAAACCCTAAACCCTAAACCCTAACCCTAAACCCTAAACCCTAAACCCTAAACCCTAAACCCTAAACCCTAAACCCTAAACCCTAAACCCTAAACCCTAAACCCTAAACCCTAAACCCTTCCCTGGATAAAAACGAAGGAGCCCCCAGACTCAGCGCGGTGGCGCCTGGTTTTGAAGCATGCCAATGGTCTGCTTCATGCTCACACCATCCTGGTTTAGGGTTTAGGGTTTAGGATTTCGGGTTTCGGGTTTCGGGTTTCGGGTTTAGGGCTACTAGGCCCCCAAGGCGCCAGCTGCACGAGGCAATGCGACCAACCAGCACCACGCCGAGCCTCAACCCCGAACCCGAAACCCTAGGCCCTCAACCCCAAACCCCAAACCCTGTACATCAGCCCCCAAACCCCTCAACCCTAAACCCTCAACCCTAAACCCTAAACCCTAAACCCTAAACCCTCGGAACTCCTTCAAGGCCGTCGTGGACTTCTCGGACTCATCCTGGAGTGCTTTGTGCCTCACAACTTGGCAGCGGCTCCAGTACTTGGAAGCCCTTTTTCGCCTTTGTAAGTAGCATTTAGGGTTTGGGGTTTCGGGTTTAGGGTTTAGGGTTTGGGGTTTAGGGTTTAGGGTTTCGGGTTTGGGGTTTAGGGTTTAGGGTTTAGGGTTTCGGGTTTATGCAACCAGTCACTCGAACGGTCGAAGCAACCACTTGGAGACGGGTTTAGGGTTTCGGGTTTTTGGTTTAGGGTCTAGGGTAAGTCTCTGCTTCCCGCATAGGATGCCCCAAAAACCCCCCAAAAGCCTGAAGTCACTTTTTGTAGCACGGCTCTGCTCGGGAATGGTTGTGAGACCGGCTGGGGATGATGCGTTATGTCCTCAATCCCTGAGAATATTGAAAATCGACCAGAGCATGAAAAGCTTCCTGTTGCTTAGTAGGAAATGAGGGAATGAGGTACCCTATATCCCCCTATATATATATATATATACATATTTTTTTCTCTGTATAGAGGGATTTTTTGGGGTACCTCATTCCCGAATTCCCTACTAACCAACAGTAAGAAAGAGCCTCGGAGGTTCTATTTGAAGAAGCCGAGCCATTGGTGCCACCCACCGTGAACGATGGACTGACATGGAACGTACTATTTGGGGCTCTATATTATTTTGAGCACCCAAACCCCAAACCCTAAACCCTAAACCCTAAATTTGATTACCTACTTTCGTAAACTCCCACATGACGTACATGATGGGCTGGCACTCAAGCAAGTCCACACCTGGCGTGACGCGGTTTGACCGCGCTGGTTCCAGTATTGTGGAAGGCCATAGCAAAGGCAACACGGACGCCAAATTGGGCGAATAGGAAGCACGGTTCTACCGAAAAATCGTTCATTCTAAAGGGGTGGTAGAAACCTCATCCGAGTTAGAGGAAGCGGTCGCAGCTGCTGACTCACTTGCGCCAGAGGTATCGGGCAGTGCTGCCGGCGAAAAGAACGGCAATCGCAAGCCACAGCAGTGCAAGTGTTAAACTGGATGCGTACGCGCGAATTCCACACAGGGTCCCAAACAAGAAGAGGAACCACCAAATCAGGGCCAACGCCACGGTCTCACAGCACGGACGGCACCGGAAAGATCTAAAGCCGATGCCCTTCTCACAGCTGAAGATCAAAAGAGCCCACATGGCCGGGAACCAAACGAAGTTCATTCCGAAGACCATGGCCAAGGTGTAAGCCAACATGCCCTCAAGGGTGGCGCCACCCTTCCAGTAGGCCACCCAGACCTCCAGCCCTGTGCTCAGCATCGGAGTTGACAGCAGGAACGCGTAGCCAAACGGGAAGCCGGGCGCCTCAAGCACCTTCATGAGCTCCTCACGGAGGGGACCGCGAACATGCTCGGAGAAAGCATGCAAACTGCCGTACCAGTGCACGATGGCGGCATGGATGTGAGCTTCGTCGGATTCGCACTGGCATCTGGCATGCTTCACATCAAAGCTGGCGAGTTGGGCCAGCAGAGTCTGCTTGTAAAGGTAGTTGCGTCGCAGTGCGTGCACCAACGGAAACAAGAAACAACCCAGGCCCATCACCTGAGCCGAACTACCTAGATGAAAGCAAGTAGCCCAACGACTTCGAATCTGCACTCTACCTGTAAACCATCCAAGGCAGCAACAGCTTGCCATTGCACTGCCAAGTCACAACGATTAGTGTACCTGCACCATGGGAGGATGGTGGCCCGGCTACCCAAGATGCGATGCTCATCGCGTGCATCCAGAGAAAGATTTGGCACATGGTAGCCTCCACAAAGATGGGTTGCACCGCGATGCCTCCGCCCGGATTCAGCTTGCGGAAGGCCGCAAGCTCGAAGACACACCACAGCCTTCGTTGTCTTTGTCTTTGTCAGTGTCATTGTCTTTGTCGTTGCCTTTGTCGTTCTCTTGTGCCTTTTGCCTTTTACCTTTGTCTTTATCTTTATCTTTCTCTGTCTTTCTCTTTGTCTTTCTCTTTGTCTTTCTCTTTGTCTTTCTCTTTGTCTTTCTCTTTGTCTTTCTCTCTGTCTTTCTCGTTCTCTTCGTCTTCGTATTTCTCTTTCTCATTCTCATTCTCATTCTCACTATCTTTCTCTTTCTCTTTGTCTTCGTCTTCGTCTTTGTCGCTGTCTGTCTCTTGGTCTTCGTCTTCGTCTTCGTCTTCGTCTTCGTCTTCGTCTTCGTCTTCGTCTTCGTCTTCGTCTTCGTCTTCGTCCTCACCTTCGCCTTCGCCTTCGCCTTCGTCTTCGTCTTCGTCTTCGTCGTTGTCGTTGCCGTTGAGGTTGTCGCTGTAGTTGTCGCTGTCGTTGCTGTTGCTGCTGTTGCTGTTGCTGATGTTGCTGATGCTGCTGTTGTTGCTGCTGCTGCTGTTGCTGTTGCTGTTGCTGTTGCTGTTGCTGTTGCTGTTGCTGTTGCTGTTGCTGTTGCTGTTGCTGTTGCTGTTGCTGTTCTTGTTGTTGTTGCTGTTGTTGTTGTTGTTGTTGTTGTTGTTGTTGTTGTTGTTGTCGTTGTTGTTGTTGCTGTTGGTGTTGGTGTTGTTGTT